TGGGTTGCGTACTACACATGAGGCCGCACCTAGGTGATATGCAATCGCGAACCGACAGATGGATCAAACTGCCCCAATGTCCTCCGCAGCATGCCAACGTGATAGTGACCAATCTTTGACGCCTTTTGAGCAGCCCAGATCAGCGTGGACTAGTACCCCAAGGTCGCGCTCCTCGATGACTGTTTGCAGGACATGGTCTCCAAGTTTGTATGTGATGTTCGGCTGGTGGCGGATGTGAGCCAGAATTTATACATTAGTTGCCCAAGTATGAGCCTATTCTTCGCAAAGCTTTGATGACAGTTCAGTAGGGAAGGAAAATAGGCACCTTTTCTTTGTACCACACGTACAAAATGAATTAGCGAGCATTTTGGTAAAACAAGTGAGAAGGAGCAGCGTAGATCAGGTCAAGCAAAGCAAGTATGTTTGCATGTTTTTGATAGCACTCCCGATGCGTCCCACAAAAACTGGATTTGTGTAAATAAAGTGATAGCAGATGAGTAGATTTCTAACTTTATTACGAGCAGCAACAAAAGAGTCGAGAAAATTGCTGGATGGGTATTGAAAGCCCCGGAGAAGGATTGAGTTCTGTTTGTTGACTGCCGTGGCGAGGCATTTGACAATGCAGCTGTTATGGTGGGCTACCAATCGGGTGTGCAGAAACATCTGCGAAATCAACTCAAAACTACGTTTGTGTCATGCATAAACTATTTTCTGAATCTGGGTTGTGTTCATGCAGCTTCGGCGACAGTTCATTCTGTTACACTTTTGTACAATGCAGCGGATATTCTCATTCTTTTTTCATCTGAACAGTGCTGGAATCTCTTGGTTTAAGTCACCGGTGTGAGTACCAATCAGCTGTAAAAGCTGGGCAGGCTAGTCGAGTAGGCGCTGTAAATATTGTGATAAAGCAATACTCGGAGCTCAAAAATTTCCTGAAGCAGTTGACAGGATAAGGAGAAGATGTAGGCATAAGACCAGATGATTTCTTAATTCTCACCTCGGTCTTGTCGCTTCCTTTTATTTTGTTTCTAAACCTTTGGAGATCTGTTCTCATAGAAATCAAGGATGCACAGATAGGTATGAACAAAATGTTTGGATTTGCAACTAAACACTATCAAGATTACAGTGTTACGAGGTTACATTCTTCAGCAGAGAGAGAAAATGGTAGACATTACAATGAATGAATGCAAAAACACTAAGCTGAATTAGTGGCAGGCATGAAGCGTCAAATCTACCAAAACAAAGGAATGGACGGAGAAGAATTTTTTGTTATCTCTAAGTGATTTGGTGCTGAGTTAAAAAGGAAAATGCTGCTTGTCATAGACAGTTTGACGGAGGAAATGTCATAGATCTTAGCAAATTGATGACCTCGAAAACAGTGGTGCTTCTGTTGTGCCGTCAAATATGTTTGATTATAACTATGGTTGTCCGCCTAACGAAGTTGAGGAAGACATAGAACATAGGAATTCCTTGCCAAGAGAGGAAGTTTGCAGTATTTTGTGAAAGCTTCAGGCAACGACAAAATTAATGGACTTACTGAACTTTTGTGCTTACACAGCTGTGAGAGCACGTTCTCAAAACGTAAAAGTATAACGAACTCTCTGCAATCATCAATGAACCACATATGGCTCATGGATTGGTAGTTCTTCCCATACAAAGGAAATTAACTAATGGACAGAAAGTTGTTAGTGTTCTCAGTACTATTGCCTCAAGTAATCCACGGAAAGTGTACCGGTAAATTTTGCACACGAGTATTGCAGCAAATCAAATACCCGCATTTACGGCAGCAACCTAGAAGTAGATCATTGAGTGCGGTTATATGAAAAGAAATATTGTATGGCAGTTCGCAATTGTGCGGGTTTACAGATTTACAATTGTCAGGGGGGTGGTAATTTTACGTCCGTCCCAGGCGGGAAAAGTAGTTGCTACGCCACTGCGATCCCGACAACTGACCAATAATAGGATAGATTTCGCTTGAACACACTCGAGAGCCGGTAGTGATGACGTCAAAATTGTGGAGAGACAATTTCGTTTCTCTTATTCCTGATTATTTTTGGTTGTCGGCTAATATAGGGACTTACGACTTTAGACAAATTTGATATTGCATAGTGATACTGTCGGCCAATCCATGGACGGGCTCATATTCGGTAATATATGGTAATTCATACGTCGCAGATAAAAATGGCGAGCAAGACAATGTGAAGACAGGCGTTGCAACATGGCAATATTTCGTGTTATCAGATCAGTCGCAAAGCAACACCATGCATAGGTCACGTGAAGGAAGCAAAAACGATTGTTTTCAACTGGGTCAGAAAAGGAGGTAGACCGACACAAACCAACAAATGACTGAGCCAAGGTAAAGGTCGTGAACCCCAGGGAAACTTTAGGGTTACTGTCAATTGCTTCTGCACGCAAACAGTAGGACGGGGCCGATTAACTATCACGGCCTAGGCAAACTTCAGCACCCTGGTGTTTTCGTTTCGGTAGACAACCGTAAAGGTTGACCCAGGGTCAGCTTGATGGCCAGTTATGAGTAGATGTCTGGCAATGAATAATGTCGGCAGCTTAGATACCCTTACTTGTTTGGCTGCTTGCTGCATTGATAGTTTAGCAATCCGCTTTGAGATATGCTTTCCAATCCACTGACCAAAAGAACGATCCGTTTTGACAATGTAACTCAGTACGCAGCTACAGACGAATTGGTAACTACAATGGGTTGTGCCAGAGACGGGCTGAGTCTACTTCACTGGAAACATCGGTAGGTTTCTGGTCGCCGAAATGGGGCAAAGTTTAGCGGCATAGAATGTCCGGCGAATCGCTATGTGCAAATGTCGTTAAAGTTGTGCAGCCGCGATATCACCTTTGTGAAGCAATTGTAGACAGAGAGTGTGGGCACAGTAAGTACCCTCGGTCTGTGTTCCTTCCGTTGACTGTGAAATCGATTAAACGTCTCCGGATATCCATTGGCCCGGAATGTCTGTGTGATGAACAGCAATTCCGATTCTAAACAGTCGACAATGTATGTTCTACGGACTCAATTATACGTCTTGTATTTAACAGGCGTTAAACTGCTGAAGTTCACATGCAGTCCAGTCCATGGGGCTTTCTTATAAACAGAGCGTCTTCTCGTCTGGTCAATAAGACATCCAGAAAAGATTGACAATTGTCATCCGATGTACAGGTGAAACGGGGGTTGGGGCGTGCGTTGTTAAACACACTGAGAAGAGACTCAGTAGTCTCTACACTTGGGACAATTATTAATATGTCATCTACATACCGCCTGAATAGACACATCTGGCTGAGGTAAGGTTCACACCTTGATTCGACCATCGTCCTGAAGAAGTTAGGCACTAGCGGGCAAAGCGGACTTCCCATGGCCACACCATCTATTTGTCAAGATGCCTGACCCTCGAATAAAAATGCAAATTTTCCGTACATAATAGCAGTAAATCCCTGGGATATTGCACAGGAACTGGCAAGGCTATTTTTTATTCGTAATGAAATCGCACAAGAATTCCATAGTTTCTCTTAATGGAACGTTGGTGAACATACCGGGTGGCGCACGAAATGTCATACCATTTGTTTTGTTCCTTACACATGTATTTGTCATCAAAATCTTACAAAATTAGTGCGGAATTAATGGTATCAGCATGGAAATTTAGTTCAATGTAGTATGTGCTCAATGTGATCAACATTTTGTTTCATAACCTCTTGCAAGCGAGCTTTTACATTTGTCGCAACCTTCCTGTAACAGTCTTCCGAAGGTAGACGACACAACTGCATGTTGAGAGTCCTGAGTTTAGCTGCACTTGTAGGCTTTCTTGCGAAGACATTATCTTGCATTAGCCTCACAAGAAGAAATCATATGGATTAGTGTCAGGGCTACGCGGGAGCCACTGTCTCCCACCTAGGTAACCCTCAGGAAACCGATGTGACGTTACCCGCCCATCATACCTGTCATACAGGTGATCAAGAACAATATTTGCAGTGTGTGGAAGGGCTCCGTCTTGCATGAACCATTGAGTTTGTACTGGGAGATCTGTTTTCAAGAGTACTGGAATAAATCTGTTTTCCAAAATGTCCTTATATCGATCTTTCTTTACCTTCTCATCAAAGAAAGCGTCCGATGATTCTATGGGGTGATATTGCAGCCCATACCCTGACCTTTACTCCATAATTTTCCCTTTCATGCAGAATGGGAGAATGTTCACTTGCTCAGAAACGAACATTTTGCTCATTCACCACACCACTTAAAGGAAAATACGACAGTAAACCACGTGTTGTGCAGACCGTAATCCTCCTGCACTAACCATGAAGCGAACTGATGTCTTCATTGCTTGTCCTCTGTTGTTAATTTATGAACAAATGTTATATTGGAATGAAACGTTTGAAGAGCAGAATGCCGAATCGTTTGTATGAATCGACGGGATATTCCTAACTCAGCAGCCGTCCTACTTGTTGAATTGCTAGGACCTCCTGTCAAAGCAAGGCGAACCACTTCCGTGTTTTCAGGGGTGCGGACACAGTCTGTGCCGTCGATTCTTCACCACAGAGCCAGTTGTTTCAAACTGACGATTTAATCTCCGAATATTATGTTTATATGGAAGCCATTTTGCACGAAAGTGTGCACGGAAACGTCCTTGTGTCGTTACAAACTCGTTTCTGTAAAAATATTACAATTTTCACCTTCTGTTTGATACTCACTCTGCTCTTATGCGCCATCTTGAAAATTGTGTTTGATGCCAGGAAAATATCGCATAGAAACTTGTTGTGATATCTACCGGATTTTCCATATACGAGTTTTCAACATTATCTCTATAATACTACATGTGTAATGAACGAAATAAGTGGTAGGACATTTCTTGCGTCATCCTGTAGATTATACATCCATAGAACACGTAAGCTTGCTAACAATATTCATATTCTGCACACAATAAATCAAATCAAAAGTGTACTTCACGGTGTAACGTGCTATCAATGTCATAGACAAAACCACTTACACTTTTAACGCCTTCGTGTACACGTCCAGCACTGCGGTCTTCCCACCACAAGTCGGCCCTACAACCATCACAGAGTGCCTGTACTGAAGTGTTTCGTGGAGTTGAACAACTTTCACTACCTGTGGAGCACACAAATACAATTAAAAGAGGGCGTGACATTCATTATCTGAAAGGCTAGTTTGTATATTACATATGTCTTTGCCTTATGAAATCCATACAAATATGCACACCGAAAAATGCAGGTGGAAAGCAAGGATGATGGGAAGTATACAATATCCAAGCAGCATTTGTCGTTGGAGCACTGCGATTCGGAAAGGCTGACCTAATTACCGCACTCGTAGCCTCCATCATGGGCGGGTCTCACTGGATCTCATCGATCCGTCTTCTCAGACACCCCACTGATTGTGCATGGAGCCACAAGAAACGGCATACCAAAAGCCACAGTTATGCCAGTGGTTGGCGTTGTGTACCGGCACCTGATAGGGTAGCGGCCCCGAGGCCTCGGTGTCATGTGCCGCTACACTGAGTGCCGACTGAGGAGTGCGACACCGCCGGTGCCACCACAGTACGGTAGCCGCGCTTATCATCTGGCCACGTCGAATTTCACAAAACCATTCATGGTCAAACCTTAATCACGAGAATATGGAGCACGTAGCCAAAGTGACGGAACCGACAGCCTAGGCAACCCAGCCAGGACGAGCGTGCCGTGGGGTGATATGCATGGGAGGACTACCGTCACATCTGCGACATAGGGAAGTGCGTACTGAGTCCCGATTACAGAGCGGATGAGCTCGGGGCTCTTACATCTACTGGCAAACGTATTATTTTCAAACTGGTTATAAGATTCCAACTCAAGTGACCATTTGGTAGTCGGTCACACTGTCCAATGGAGCGTACAGTGGGAGATGATGACGTCCTTGTTTTACTGGTCGGTTGAAGGGCAATGTTTCCTTGAAGTGTTGAACCGGTGGTACATTGTTTTCCAAGGCTCTGAACCCCGAGCACGAAGGCATTCCTTGCTACACATTGTTGCTGAACAGAGCTATATCCTGGCTAAGCATGATAGGACACCACTAGCCTACTCTTTCACCCCTGAACGCGAAACATTATGTAGGTTTCAAAGGACCCTGATGGTTGATAAGTAGTAGGATTGGCAATGGCTTGCTGGCTTACGGCTGATCACATGCCATCGTAGAAATGGAAGGAGATTTCGAGGGAACCAAACTCACGTACCTGTTCGTCCACGATTGAGTATTGCCAATATTTCAACACACTATGGGCAGCGCTAACCAATTCAGGGATTAGTGGGGCTGTCTCGAACTCGATTCCAGGAAAGAGATCCTGTATGAGACCCATAAAGAGGGGAACATCCTCGTGTACCAACTTGGGGAGGTTGGAGTCTCTGAGAGATCTCATCAACAGTTGCTCCTCTCTCAAGTTCGGATTTCGTCGTCTCATTGCGCCCGCCATCACCAATAGTGAGCGCAATGCTCGTAGACCGAAGTCATAATGGTATTGCTGTGACAGCTGTTCTTTGGCCAAACGATAGAGTACTGTCACTTTCTTGGCTAGATCCTATGAAAAAAGTAGAACGTGCCACATAATGGCAAGAATGAAAAGCGGATAAATTGAAAGGCTCCTTTTCATTCGTTTGTGCAAGAACAGGTATTGTGCCTACGGATGACTACTACTCATGCTTTAGTACATTGGTGGAGCAATTCATTTACCTCTGATAAATCACTAAAAGGTGCATTTCTTGTCACAAGTGTCCGTGTAAGTCGACGTGATGAGCAAGTAATGCACTTTCTACCTTTCTACGAACAACCACAGTGGTGTGAATTGTTTACCGCCGCTGTAATTCGATGGATGGCAAAACAAAGTAGTCTAATGATAACATGGCAATGGTGTGAAGAAATGTACTGTGGAAACTGGATCAGAGTGGCACCTGTCGTGCCTCTGTGTGGTGGCTTCCAGGCCGGAAAAACAAATGGCTAGTTTCTTTTCCCCATACGGGGAAATAATGTAGTGATCGGACCTCATGAATTTACGTTCTTGTACGTATCCAAGTGTAACCTATCCAGTCTGATTACCATCGTTGCTTGCTCTTATCGTTTTAATAAACATCCTAAGCATGGTGATACAAATCATGTTAATTGTAGCCGCCATCACACGGCACTTCACGACTCGTTTTGATCCCACTTGATCTCATCAGGTAGAGATAGCAGGCCTCGAATACGGGACCATTAGGGTGTTAGTTGGGACTTCTATCTCTTTAGTCACCGGGCCACGATGAGAAATGCATGTCACAACGATTGTTGACTGATTAAAGGGTCATTTAGAAGTATACTTTGTGTGACTGCATTGCGACACGCAATCTCAATGTGAACAGCGATTCGCCATGAAGTGAAGCTTGGTCGATTCGATCACTATGACCGTAGCTAATGAAGCTGAAGGAAATTGGGTGTTGTTCTCCCGAAATCATTGCATTCCGTGACGTCTTCCGACCTCATTTGATCTCGTGAACTCCTGAGTTCGAGACCTGCTATCTCTACCTGATGTGATCAGATAACTTCGAAATGCTTCTTGGTAGGCAGTGTTTTCGGGCGGACAGCTACCAATATATATCTGCTTCGTTAGTTACTGTCCCAGTGATCGATTTGACCAAGATACTTCAATAAGAATGGCAGTCCACATTGAGATTGCGCGTTGCAGTCCATTCACACAACATGTACTTCAAAAGGACTCACCAATGTATCCACCACACTTCGACTCTCGAGCCGAAGATGTTGCACTTTGTTGCGCTGACGCAACTAACGACAACTTCTCCATGGTGACCGGGAATTGACAACTTTCTTAACCACATATACCTATACATTACGATTAGGGAAAAACGATTTGGCATGAAAAATGATGTAGTAACATTAACGCCCATTGTACGTACTCTCGCAGTTATGAATCCTTGTGAGAAAAGCATAATTTCACAAATGTATTCCAGATCGGGGACGATCACTACCACGGGACGAAACAATGCTTTGACCGACTCGGGTAGCTCCGTCCGCCCTGCGTAGCCGGGATTCATCGTGATGAAGATACCAACTCGACGATCCAGAGGCAATTCCGATCCTTCGAACTGTGAACAAGTGGGGTTGAAGGATGCCACGGTCAGATTCCAACTGAAAGAACCGTAACACAATACTGCATACTATTGACACTGGGTAATGACAAAGCCTCGGGCCCTCCAGGCGTGCAGTAACACGAAGGCAATCATGTATAGTAACGAGATACCAAACAACAAGTCACTTCACTTTATCACGGACCTGAAATATGGTAGCTTCCGACTGGAGTGCATTCTGGATAGACTTGATCTGGGACGATACAACGGACAACACCGACACCTCGATGCGGTTGAACTCGTCGAAGCATCCCCAAGCACCTGACCGGCACAGTCCAGACAGAAGTTTTGCAAACGACTGCAGGAGATAAGTGTGTAAAAGAAGTGATGTACACGAGATTAGAGTGATCACAGACAGATTTGGCTCCTGATCGCATAGTTTCCACTGAGGTACATCCGTGCAAAAATGATGATAACGATAGTAACAAAGGTAGCAGTAATTATTCGCCATCCTGTTAAGAGAAAGCTCGCGCATCGTTATGACTCCCACTTGGTTTCGCCACGTTCTGACGATCTGGTATCAACTCTCCTAGTCGGACTAACGAAAGTGACTCGGAACTATATTTACGCACGGCAAGCTAACCGACAAAAATTCGAACTTTGTATCTCCCGTGAGACTTAGGCGCAACACAGTTAGTACGCGTAAGTTGAACGGCCTACCAGACCGAACACAATTTCACAAGCTGCTACCCGAACCCGAGAGAATAAGACTAAAGACAGGCCTTTTGCATCAGGCACTTTTACTAGTCAGGTCAAGGCGATTAAAGCATGGTGCAGCATCGTTTATATACCGCGATGGTGGAATATGCGAATTTTCACGTAGACTGGTTTGCCTAAGCAAACTCCCGAAACAAGGCATAAGCAAGTGAAATGGCACTATGTAAACGACATGTCGAAAGTGAATGTTGGTGTTGCGGGCCCGTCAAAAATCCCCGCAAAACCACGCCAGAAACTCCTACCAGACGGCTGTGGAAAGCGAGGTCCAATTCCTCCTCACAACGCAGCAGAGCTCAGCCACTACGAGACGCGGCCCAAACTGCGCACCTTCTGGCAATGGTCCTTTGCAAACTACAACCTCTTCGTGGTGACTGTTTTCCCTAACTTAATAATCCATAGCACTGGCTGTGATCGCCCTTTGTCGGTCTTAAAAGAGCCTGTAGAGGATCACTTGCCTTTTCTTTCTCTTCGCCTCAGTTGGGAGTCGGTTGGGTCACGTGATTGCGTGTGCGTCGTAGCTGGCCAGTGTTCGCGTCTAAGTCATTAGCGCGCGTCTATCGTAACCCCCTCTCGTGTGCGTCCGTTCCGAGGCCTCAGTGTCTATCCGAACACGTGCTGAATACTGAATAATGTATTATAGAACAAGTAGAAATGGATTCTGTACAACTCTTTCGAAATATGGCGAAAAACGTTATAAAATTGTCAACCGTGAATATCATTGTCGTTCTCATGTAATATTTAAAATATTCGACTTACGATATTTCAGGATTCACAAATGTGATGTCATCGTAAGTGTGCAGTCGTTCTCTGAAGCGAATAGAGGCAAAATACAAACCTAACGTTTTGAACTGCTGCACAGATGTTGCCTCAATCACATGTTCGGGCAAACTGTTCCAAATGTTTACCACTCTCCTTTCGAAGCACAGTGGGTGGGGAACACATTTCATATCCGGCACGACAAGTTTGTATCTGTGTCCGCGTGTGCTGCATGGTCCTCGTAAGTGCAGTATTGGCCTTAGTATGGGGAACTCACCAAGATGTAGAATTCGGTAGGTCATAATGAGGTCGACTCGCACCCGACGGTAGGACAAAGTGTAGAGCCCTAGTTTCTCGCACCGGTCTTCATACCCAAAGTCACGTAAACTCGGGATGAGCCTGGTAGCAACGTGTTGGACCCGTTCGATCTTTTGTGCCTCGCCTCGGGTAATCGGAAAGTAGGCGGGCGAACCGTACTCTAGCATTGGTTTAATGATAGAAGAGAAAAGGCGAGTGGCAACCTCTTCAGACCATGTGCCGAAGCTACGTTTGAGCGCCCAAAGCATACGCAGTCCGTTCCGATATAACCTGTTCGTGTTGTCCACGGACTTCAAATCGTAGCGTAAGAGTACACCTAGGTCCTTCACGGAGGGTGTGGGATATAGCGTTTGGCCGTCAACAGTGTAGGTTCGGCCGTTTGCACCCTTCCCCAGGCTCATAAATACGGACTTGGCTGGGTTGACCGGGAGAAGAACTTCTGCAGATCATGTGGATAAGCGGTTGAGATCTTGCTGAAGTAGGCCACAGTCATCGGGAGCGTCAATTTCTCTCCAAATCTTCATGTCATCCGCAAACAAGGCACACGGCGACCGGAGAAGCTGCGGTAGATTGTTGATGTGGACCAGGAACAGAGTGGGCCCCAGCACAGTGCCTTGAGGCACGCCACTTGTAGAGGGGTACCAGTCAGTTAAATGGTCGTCGACCTGTACTCTCCACTTTCGTCCAACAAGAAAGTCGCTGATCCACCGGTGCAGTGAGCCACCGACACCACACATCCTGAGTTTGTGAAGGAGAATCTCATGGCTGACCTTGTCAAACGCTTTACTGAAATCGATGAATATCACGTCCACGGACTTCCCCTTGTTTACTGCCTTCAACCACTCATGCGTCGTCACAAGCAGGTTCGTAATGCATGAGCGACCTTGCATAAAACCGTGCTGTGCGGGCGTCAGGACCTCGTTTGACTGTAGCAACTGCAGCAATCTCTGCTTCACGATTTTCTCAGCAAGTTTTGCCAAAATAGGTGTCAGACAAATTGGCCTATAATTGTCTACTTTGCTAGGGTCGCCGCCTTTCGGAATAGGGTTCACCACCGCACATTTCCAGTCAACCGGCAACGAACCTTCGGACAGCGACCTGTTGAAAAGGTCAGTCACGATAGGAGATAGGATGGTTGAAAGTGACTTGAGAACCAGTGGGTGAAGCCCATCAGGTCCGGCAGGTTTGGTGCCGTCAAGGTTGGCGAGTAGTTGAGCTACCTCTTCAACGCCGCATTGCAGACTATCGAGTTCGGTACAAGCGGTACACGTCGAACTCGGAACAGACACCTGGTTATTCGCAAATACAGAAGCGAAGTGCGCCACCAACGCGGATGCACGCTCAGTGCTGGAAGTTAGGGGCTGTCCATCCGTGCCATTCAGCACTGGCACATCACCTACCGGCTTCAGGCGTCGCTTCACGTATGCAAAGATTCTCTTTGGGGCGGTCTTCGCGGCTAATGCGAGCTTCACTTCAAAGTGTCGGCGTTTATTCTTTTTCGCACTGTTACAGAGGTTCCGCTGACATTTATACCCTTCGTAATCATTGGCAAAGCCAGCGAGAAGGAATTTGTTCCACAGTCTGCGCCGCCTCCGAGCCAGGTTCCCATACTCCTTATCAAACCAATGAGGCTGAATGGGTCCAACCTTCCGACATTTCAATGGCACCAATTGGGAACACAATGATGTCAATCTCTCTTTTATAAATATCCAACAATCTTCCACAGATGCCGCTTGTGACAGAGACCAATCCAGTTGGCTCGCGGATCGAGCTAGACCATCGAAGTCCGTTTTCCACTAGTTGGGGGTTGGTTGCATCGGATGTGAATACGGTAAAAATAATTCCATATCAGCTATCAGTACTGAGTGGTCGCTCGTAGCCAAGTGCTCCAGGATCCTAACGTCACGCACTCGTTGTTCGTAGCTCGTTAACATCAGGTCGAGACAGGACGAGGTTGAACGTGTTGATATGCGTGTTGGCTGGCATATGTGTTGCGATGAACCAGTTTCAAGCACCAAATCCACGAACTTTGCTTCAAGCTCAATATGTCCAGGCATCAAATGCACATCAGGCCATCGTATTCGAGGACAGTTAAAATCGCCCATAAGCAGAATGTGTGGACGACACATGTGGGCTTGAAGATGGGGCATCCAATCCAAACAACGACTCAGGGGACTGCGTTAAACTGCGCCCACAAGCAGTTCTCCGCGCCTGAGGCGGATGGAGCACCACAGTAGCTCACACAGGCCATCGTCACTTCGGTAGGTGCTCACAAGTCTCCCACGCAGGGAAGACCGTATGTAAAGTAAGACACCACCGTGGGCATTCTTTAGTCTATCGCATCGGAAACACGAGTAACCGTTGAGTTCAAGTTCTTGGGTGTATAACTCTGCATGCAGCCATGTTTCTGCGAGTCCCACTACGTCTGGCCGCTCAGACGCAAAAAATAACAAGTTCACAAGTTCGCTCAATTTTCCGTCTCACCGGCTAATCTAGCGTCATGAGATCAGAGTAACTCCGTTCCATTGGCCAGCGTTACAAGTCGTCATCGTAGGCGTGCTCCAACCGTGCCAGCGGCAATCTTAGCAGGCAATTACGCAATTAGAACAAAGACGGCGTTCCCTCAATTATAACAGTTGGTCGATGCGTAGCCTGGACTGGAAAAATGGATGATTCTTGGGTAAAAAATACCTGATTGTTTCATGATTGAGGAGGTTGGCCGGAAACAGGAATGTTTCGTATGAGCAAATGCTGTTCGAAAAGTAAATGTCTCATGAGTTGGAAAGCTGATCGAAAAATGTCCACTGACCTGAATGCCAGTCTCCATTGCCTTCCGTGGTTTCGGTCTGCGATATTGTAGGGATGTTAGGTCCCCATAATATCCCCTTCAAGTTTAAACATACCGCTTTAGTTGCGGGTCGTTCTGCTGTCTTTCTATTCTTCGACGTGTGTTTTCCGACTTGCGGTGAGCACCGGTAGGGTTTGACGTCGGCTACACAACTTCCACAGGCCCCGATTGTTGCTCAGCGATTCCCAACATATCCCATTGTATGTGTAGCAGTATTTGTGTAGCCGACTTGCATTGTTCGTCGAGCGTTCCGTGTCGTGGTCCTAGTTGCTATTGGTGACGAACCCATGTGTCTTCTTCCACAGCGACATCATGTAACAATACCACAATGGCCCATTACTGTAGCTTCGATCCAATGTGCGTGACCAGCTCGGTAGTCACTTGCGAAAACAGGAGCTCCAACAGTGAAGCCCTTGCGACTGGTAAGGACTTGGGTTTTCAATGGTGGTTTTTTCTTTGGAACCAACACTGTGTGTGGCGCGCAGCTTCCAGCTCAGAAATGCTTCGGCAAGTGCTTTCCATCCTGGAGTTGCTGGGTTCGATATGGTTCTGTAGACGAACAGAAAAGTCTGGATAATGGTTTCTAGGGTCCCCTACCCACGAAGTTTCAAGAACGCTCTTTTGCAAGCGTCGAGGAAACGTTCCGCTTGACCGTCGGACTGTAGATGGTGTGGTGGTGCTCGGAGGTGCTGGTTGCACTGACGGCGGCAGAACTCTTCAAATTGAGATGACGTGGAATGCTACCCATTATCGGACACCAGGACATCAGGAAGTCCGTGTTGGCTGAAGGTTTGCTGGAGACAAGTTATCGTTGCCGTTGTGGTCGGGTGGTTAATGGGCACGACTTCAGGCCATTTGGAGTGGGCATCAACAAGGACCAGGTACGCAATTCTATCGATTGGACCAACCTAGTCGTTGCGTCTGCGAGACAAATGTTTTTCCGCTGATTGTCCGGGGATTGGAGGCTGGCGCTGTGGCATCTTGGCTGCTTGTTGACATTGGGAGTAACGGTGAACCTCATCATCAATGTTGCTGTCAATACTTAGCCAATGAACGGAGCTACCAGCGATTGCCTTCATTCTGCTAATGCCAGGGTTTGTAGAGCGGAGCTGACGGTGGACGGCTTGTCGAAGACAGATAGGAACGACGATTCTATCGGTTGTCATGAGGCAAGAATCAGCTACAGAAGTTCTCGACGCTGAAATAAGCGTTTGAGCTCTCCAAATAGTACAGTGTTAGATCAGCGTGTCTGAACATAAGCGATGGCACGGCAGTGGACAGAATCCTGTGCAACTGCGCGACGTATATGGACGGCGATAACAGGGAGGCTGCGCATAGCGTTTATAAGTTGATGACGAACATCTTCCTCGACGGCGACAACGGCGAACACCGTGTCTTCGTTTGCAGCGTGTTTGAGGATTAGGCGAGAAAGACCGTCGGCTTTAACGAAATCGTGGGAGCGGCAGACGCGGGTTGCGAATTCCTACACAAGAAGGATAACTGCGCATTGTTGAAGTCGACTGGTTGAGTATTCTGGGATGCAGTTTTTAGACTCAACGATTAACAGCAATGGCTTGTGGTTGGTTAGTAAAGTGAAATGCCGACCATAGAGTATTTTGTAGAACATTTTGACCGTAAAGACGATAGCCTAAGCTTCCTTCTCGATCTGACCGTACTTTTTCTCTACGGACGTCAGTGTGCGTGAGGCATGCATGACGGCTTTCTCAGAACCATCAGGGAAGCGATGGAACAGGACTGCTCCGATTCCATAATTGGGGGTATTGGCAGTGACTAAAATGAGTAAGGCTGGGTCATAATGCGTCACTAGTAGGTCAGAACTGAGCATAGTTTTCAGGCGCACGGATGCCCTCTTGCATGCTGGAGACCAGTGCCAAGGAGTGACTTTTTGCAATAGTCGATTGAGTGGGGCCCGTACATCGTGTAGCGATGGTACGAAGGCATTGTAGTAGCTGATATGGCCAAGGAAGGACAGTAGCTAATGAATGTCTTTGGAGGAAGGTATCTGTTGAATGGCTCGGACATTTTCGGGGTCAGGATGACGGCCATTAGCAATGATGACAAAGCCGAGGTACTTGAGCGACTGAAGGACGAATTGACATTTATCAGCCCTCAGGTGGAAGCTATATTCCTGGATCCGTCCAAAGATTTTGACCAGACATTCTCACAGTTCTTATGGGGTGTGACCAATAATGAGGCGATCATCCAGGTAAGCAGCCGTACCTGGAATGCCAGAGATCATTATGTCCATTATCTGCTAGTCTAGGGCTGGAGCGGTCTTAACAGCAAACGGCAGTTTAGTGTACTGGAGGAGACCGCAGTGTGTGTTGATCGTCAGAAGCGGTTGCGACTCAGGTGCAACTTCGATCAGTAGGTAGACATCTGCCAGGTTGATCTTGGCGAAGCCCGTGCCACCATTGAGCATCGCGAACAGGTCGGTGGGAGATGGCAATTGGCAAAAGTTTGGCTCCTGGTCACATGATTTTCACGGACGTATATCCGTGCGAAAATGATGCTAACGACAACAACAAAGGTAGCGGTAATTATACGCAATCCTGTTTTGTTGTTACACAATGAAAGTGGTACTTCTGCGCACACTTTATTGCTTTGAAAGCACCGACGTCACTTGATGGTTTCGTAGTGTTGTTGTGGCTTCTCAGTACTCATTAGGTTCTCCTGTCCCCAAGTGACTTGGCAGGAGCACTAGTGTTGGAAAGAGTACATATAGACGATTTGTTACATATTTGGCCCCCCTATCTTTGGCGGCCTTACATATACAGATGACCTCTCCCGTCTCCGGTTGTATTGCAAAACTGGTGGGGCAAAAGGATGGTTTAATGTTGAAGGTTCTCCTTGATGTCACGCAACGAGCATGCGGCATTAGTCAAGTGGCTGCTACTCCCCCACTGATCTACTTTGGAGACGTAAACTCCGTCCCACTGTCGGCTGTCGGTGAGGTGGCTCAGCTGGGAATGACGCGTAAGCGCACACTTAGGAGAAAACGTACTTAAAATACAGGTATCTCTGGAGGATTGTTCAAGTGTTGCTGTGTTCATCGAGCTGGGCAACTAGATTGAATACGCTACACCCCCATTCCAGGTGACGTCATTAGTGCAGAATTGATGGCACTTTCTATTGCGTCAAAAATGCGTAGGCTGCGCTACACAGTGTTCAATTCCTGCCCAAAACGTAGCAGGATCCAGTCAGTCCGAGTCGGGCGCAACTGGGCTAAAGTGAACGATGTTCCTCCGTAAACCACTCACCCTGCGTGGTGATTCATTTCACCCATAAAATGAACCATTGTGCCAACTGCGATTCGGCCTTTGTGGGTCGTAAAGTACGTCGCAGAGGTCCGCTTCGTCTTGCATCGCTTGTGGGATGGTTAGGATTCGCGTTGTCACTTGATCGCGTGCGCCGTTCTAGCCGTGTATTGCGTGTGCGTTTAAGTCTCTCGCTTCCCCGGTCGTCTGCGCACAGCAGTCTGGTTTCGAGGATTCAGCGCGTTACCGGAATACGTGCGTGAATATAGACGGTGCCCAGGTCACGTGTTATTTTCAGCCAGACTAACCCGGCCAGGTCTGCGCAAATTCATTAGTTTCATAGCAGCAGCTGGTGGAAGGTGAATCCAAAGCTGGATTTTATGGTGGTAAAACAGCTGAAATGAAGTTGCATAGATCGGCGAACACCACAACACTTATAAACATAGGCTTCTCGTTTCCAACTTCGAGCCGTTGTCTGTCTTTCTCCTTCTGAACAAAGATCAACCGTTCTTACAGTGCATCATCCTATTGACCTACTCCTTGAAGATCCAACAAGGGCATAAGTAAATATTCAGCACGTCTAGGCTAAGCCCCCTACTAGTCCTTTGCAATCCCGAGCTGGTTCACGAGATTATTAGACTTACTGGTGCGTGTTTCAATTGCCATTCACTAAAGCGATCTGAGATGCAGCGTGTTTGTACAGCACCATTTTCGAAATGACTTCAGCTAACACATGTTGCCACAACCCTTGCATCTGTAACATGATAAGGGAAAGTGGATAACCTCTGAATGGGTAGCAGCTATCATCAGCATAAAATGTTGACTTCTTTCGTGCTTGAGTTACGCGGTGTGGTCGTGCAACGCGACACCCGTGGCCCATATGCGAGTACGGAGGTTCCGTGACTGTTCGTGGTCAAAACGGTAGACAAATGGTGTAACGAATAGCACTAACTGCTGCGGTTTAACGACAGAGAACTCCTAGGTTTGTGAAACCGCAGAACTTTATAATGGAACGCCGTTTCTATCTGGTCTGTGTGTATGGCGGTACGGACCACAACATAGTACAGCCGGCGTCGCACACTCCCCAAAGAAACTCCACAAGCCAAGTAGACTTTGGGTGCGATAGTTCGACACACTGTAGGGGGGCAAGTTGGATGGAAAAATGCTTGGTCTGGCGCTGGATGCACAACCGGACTCAATTACAAGGATTCTGGAGATTTGCAAGTTAATGCTTCGTTGATAAAATTTCAGAGCACAAAGTTTGTGGGGTCTACAAGGCCACTGGAGCACATGTGGCAGAAAGCAGCAGTATTGACTGTTCTCAGCGCCACTGCAATCTTTCCACTGTAACCGGTATGTGTAAATTGAGTATGTGTTGCTCCTATATAGGTATTCGTGGTTTAAAAGCAAGCATGGGACTAGATTTCGTCACGGACTTCTATTTGAAGCACCGTTTTTATTCACTTAGGGATTGCACCTGTGCATCGATCAGTGTTGGAAAGCCATCACTGTTTTTTACTACCATTTTACCGTAAAAGCGCACCTCTTTTCTAGTTTGCTGCTGTCATAACCTGTCAGTCGTTCGTTGGGACGACATTAATGGCGTTCAAACATTGGCACTTGCTGATGCACAGTGTCTAACACCTAGTTGTTTCAGCTCGGACCACATACCGCATCAGTCGAGGAACTTTTCAGTTCATCTAGTTTCTGCAGGTTGTTTTTCCTCAAAGCGCTTTGAGAAGCGTTAGAGACTGTTATCTAGGTATTCTCACTAAGAGGTACCTGTGCACAACTCCACAACGTTACGGCTTCAGAGAGCGTAACTATATCCATTTCTTTCTTTGCCTGATTTTGTTGGAGCAACATTTAACTAAGAAGTGTGATCCAACAACTGAGTTAATTTGTAAATTATTATGTGTAAACTGGAACAAAACGCCACTAAACCACCGGCTGTCTTTTCATTAAAGTGAACTGCACCAAAAGCTTCGTAACCCAATACTCACCGTTGTTAAGTTAGGATCAGAAGTGAAACGTGCAGAATGTGTAATAAAGACAGTATCCTTTAGATATCACTGCTTACTTTGTAATCCATATTCTCTCCACAGTTCGTTACCACGCAAAGTAGTCCCAACGCCTTCGCTAAATCCTTTATAGTCTCCGTCTTCCCGGTACCTGCGGGCCCTGCAGGAGCGCCGCCTAGACACAATGACAGTGCCTGAAAAGAGTGAAAATATGGTTAAGGAAAGCATCTGTGTGAGTCGCTGCAGCCAAAGCTGTTGGTAGTGACGAATCTAGTCTCCTTGGGATTCATATATACGTTAATACAGATGCAAATTAGTCCCATTTTAAGAACCACTTTTTAATCTTGACACCTATCGCATTTAAAAGACGGTTGGATGACGCACTCATCCAACATCCTACACCTGGAGTTTACCATGGAATTAGTTGATGTTAACTGCGGGTGCTGTGAATCTAAGCAGATTGCAGAACTATGAGGGAGCAAAGGATAAGTCCTTATTTTCATATTTAAAGTACTAACTGTTTTACTTTGATTATTATCATTATTGTTATGTTGATATCCCCACCAACTATCCAACGGGACTTGTAAAGCAACTTTTCTTAAACCGTATAAATTCATTGTTCATTGTTTCTTGTTAGGTCCTGTAACATTGCCTTCTGATCCATACTAGAACCAGAAGTCAATAACCTCGACAAGTAGCATGTTTAACGGAACACCTACCATGTATAAGACATGATGTAAACAGACTGAAACGGCAGTTGGATTCTTGGGTCCAATGCACCGCTCATTCTGGCCACAGAGCGCTTTCTGTAGTGCATAGAGTCAACCATAAGTTGTCGCGCAAATCTAAGTCAAAATCATAAATCATAACCATTCTGGTTGTCGTTTCCTGTTCATGTTGCAGTGGCCTCGCCCTTCGAGCCTTACGCAGCACACAATGCACGTTGAGTGAACTCTCAACAGTACTCGGTTTCCAGTGGTCGACGGTTGCTCTATGGTGAAGCTTTAATCTGCGGTTCACCTTTTACAGTAGCTGACACTTTGTGCTTGTGAACACGGATTCAGCTCGGTTCTCCGTCCCCTGAAAAAGTGTCTCAATTGTTCCCACTAGTGTGTGCATAAAGTTATCTCCACTATAGAGGTTGTGTCTGTAACCAGCAGGATAACACTCGGGTGTCCGTTGCGACTTCCCATTCATTGCCGCCACAACGATAACACCGGATGGACTCATTACAAGAACCAATTAAATGTTTCATGGGACATCATTGAAAGCTGTATGTCAAATTCATAGTTTGGCACTGGCTAGGTCTATGAATTGTCTGTTAACTTTACTGTGTAATGGGGCGGTGTTCTACAGCAACTACATATACGTAATGAGAATACATCGTACTTGTGTTATCGTTAAGTATATCCGGTCTGTTAACGGGGTGATAACCAGTCGCCCGTTCAGTCCAAAGTACTCGTTTCCGTAACTGAACTCTGCGGAACACTGTCGGATCGCCATTCTGTCGGTTTTGCGTACCCAGTAAAAGCGTAACTGGGACTCCCAACCGAACTCATCTGGAGCCATGACACTGGAGAAAGTGAGAGGAAGGGAGGGAGGGTACACGTGAGTGCAAAGATGCTTCAGCTAAAACACCAAATTGTCGCATTAAGCTTATAAATGGAAGCAACTCCGTATAGGTGACGGTTTGGCAGATGACATATATGTCAAACGCATTGTCGAGCATACAGGATTCATTTGAGTAAATAAAAAGGGTGAAACATGAGAGGACACCTTGAGTATAAAGTTCGGTACACCAAGGATTAAACGGTGAAAATTGATAGCTATAAGTTAAAAACCAACCACAACCGCAATTCAGAGTTGGATGAGGATAGGTCAGTATGATGAGTCCCCGGACTCCCTGGTATACCTAGTTCCAGCACAAATGAACAAACGGCTGAAACGCAATACAATTGTCATCAACTCTTTGTGCATACAAATGCTAGGTTTTGATCCTTACTTATGAAGTAACGTAAATGTAGGAACCCAAGCAACCACAGAAATCACACGATGTAAGTGAGGTGGCCGGCGGTTAGCTGCTGGAAGAAAATTGAAGAAACACTATTGACTGTTCTAATTTTTCATGCCAGAACGGTCTAACGCTATCTGTAGCAGACTCCGTGGCCTCCATACTCGCCTTATGATGACTTCATCTTTCTCTTAATTGCTATATACTTTGGCAACTGTTTCGATGCTTCGTCCATGCCCAAGACCCAAAGTATGCGGCCGACCTCACCTGATAGAAATTAACCTGCGCATTGTGGGTGCCACAGCTATATCAGGCAGTTTGACACAGTGTCCTAGTTTACGCCCTCAATGCCAAAAGTCTTAATTGGAGGACTGCAGCATGGTTCCATTTCATCCGTGCTTCCTGTGCGCCGAAGTCGAAGACAACTGGTTTAATACCCGCAACACACCCTGGTCTTCTTGTGCAGACACAACAATAGTTACCCTGACTGCCTAACGAGCTGACCTGCTACCGTTTTCACAGTGGATGAAGGCTTCAAAGACGCAACAGGATCTTAGGTTACTGACTAGGACCCCATCAGCAGGTTGACAGCTGACGATGATGCGATTGAACAGGCGGAGCAATTAGTTGACCATCTCGCAGGGTGTCTCAACAGCTGTGAGAACTGCTGGTGGTTGACGTTGTCACTGCGGTGGTACCCCGCGCTCGTTAAAAGTCATCTTCATCATTACGAATAATTTTATATCACTAATGTGAGTTTTCCCTCTTCCATGCTAGCACAAATGAGGTTCATTTCAGCCACGAGTACCAACAGTGCTTGCGAATAAAAATTGACACCATCAGTGAGGAATGAGGAGTTGGTAAAAAGGGCAATGCAGTACAAACCCTAAACATTTTTACCAAACGTTCAGGACCGAGTTACCAACAATTTGATTATGTAACGCGATCTCTAAAAACCGGCGGCATCTATGAGACAGTCATCTATTGAATTTCCCTGTCCTCCTCCTTCGTATTTAGGCACAAGTAAATCTGTGCCGTGGGTACTCCAGCTAGACAGTCTAAAAGGGAGTGACCCAACCGAAAACTCACCAAATGAGGTAAACACGGCTTTCGCATTGCAAAGTGTTAACTGGGTGGGAAAAGTCACAGGCATAACATGTGGCCGTCGTGCTGGTGTATCTAGATGCAATTGGAAGAGATGATTTTTCTTTTGTAAACTATGCATAGCTTGATGAATTATAGGTGATCTATGGTTTCTTGAAGTGTGGATGCAAGAGGTTGCGGGAATGTACGACTCGAAATGCAGATTAGCTACAATGACGAAATGCATACAGGTGTGTACTGAAGTGCACGAGACAACTTCGATCGGTCAGGAGGGATTCATAATGACGAATTGGGTAGTACGTTTACAAACCTCGTTTACAAACCTCATCTCTAAGATGCACGGGCATCAAGGACGTCAGCTACAAGGCGAAAACTCCGTTGACACATACAACTAATGCTGACAGTTGGTACTCGCCAGTTAGCACAAGACAACACATCTAAGGTAAGGATCCCACTGTGTCTTGGTGACCAAACTAATAAAGTCGTGTATGACACTACATCCTACCTATCTCGGATGAAGCGCTCCACCATATCTTTTGAGTGCACATCCAAGATGAGCGTCGTCTCCAGCTTTTTCATATCGCTTGCAGACAATTCGGTGCGAATGCGGCATACCATTTCGTGGAGTTGGGCGCCCAATTTCTTATCGTATTCCTTCATGGCACTGCGGTTGCCCAGTTTGAAGGCACGAAACACGTCTTCGACTTCCCAAGTGAACCAAATTTGCGTAGCAGCTAAAACAACCATACCCTGGCAAAATGGGAGGGAAGTAATAATAGTAATTTTTAAAATAATTTGTGGGATATTCAGTTGCCCCATTTACAGTATATGTTGTGTGCATGAACCGCGACATATAATTTCTAGCTATACCGCGACTTAATTTCTAGTAAAGCTGGATGGATTCGTTAGTTGGGACAACCTTTGAAATGGGGGTAGGTTGATCCACAGGCATTTGTGAAACCAGCATTTCCGAATAAACTGTTTTGTGAAGCTTCGTCGCAGTTAGGCCCAGACAGACATCGCCCATAAACAATCAGGAAAGGGCTAGGCGGCCGTCTGGTCCTAGTAGGACTCCTCAGTAGCGACCCCCCGCCGAATCCTGCCCGATTCGAACCCATGTCATTACTCTTGGAAGTCAGCGACATTTGTCACGGAGCCATGTGCGATGGCAGTGGACCGCCATGACTGCTATCTAACTGCGATATAGCGCTGCGCATCCTCCTCTAACACTTAGACATAATCAGTAGTACCCTTTGCAGCTTACATGCCACCTCGATTCGTGGCAGCTTACAAAGGAAGTTATGACTCTGGGGACCGGCGCTGTCTTCTGCACGTTCATAACACGCATGACAGTGGAGGATGAGCCACGCTAGATCGCAGTTAGGTAGCGGTCATGGTAGTCAGCTGTCGTCGCCCATGACTCAGTGACATATGTCGCCGACTCACAAGAGTAATGTCGTGGGTACAAATCCGGCAGGATTCGGTGGATGTGCGCTATTGATGAGTCCCAAGAGGACGAAACGGCCGTCTAACGCTTTCCTGGATGTGTGATGGCTGCCTGCTTGCATCTAACCGCGAAGAATCTTTACGAAAACTCAGTAAATTCTGCTACTACTGACCCATTACCTGCTTATTTGTTTTGACTTCGCTTCTCGATAGCAATGTGTTTCCCAGATCACCGGGTTCTTCTAAACTTTTTTGGATCTTTACGATACCCACATAATGTGAGGCGCAAATTCCTGGTGATGAAATAGGGGCAAACTCGAATGATGCGCATTCGGTCCCATCAGGTGTTGAATGCTGTTGTTGATAGAAGTATTTCGCTCTCTTCATTCTAGGCTTAGGTTGTTTGATGGCCGTGAAGCACGCGCCGTATTTCCATGAATTGAGACAACAATAGAACAATGGTACACTGGTTAGAAAAGCCAACAAATAACAGCCAAATATTGACTTGCGAACAGCTTATTGCTAGGTCTACTTCAAGAGACCTATACCAACCCTGTCGGTAGCTGCATAAGGCAACTAGAAGAAATTCTCTTCGTACACTGCCTTGGTTAACCAAGAGCTCCCACGCCGCATTGCGAATCGCGTTCTATCGAACGCACGCAAATCTCTTTGTCTGACCGGATTTGTGAGTGTGAGCTTGTTGGAACTAGCGCATAACGTGACGCGGCACGCCACGGAGTTGACCTCGGGGCTTCCTGTGCACAGAGCAGTCAATTACTGAAGGACAACCTACCCTTGACGGAATTTGGACAACTGAGCGCTCTTACAACTGGTTGGTTTGTATCGATCGTTGCATCTGAAACCGTGGACTGTTTGTACCGTGTGATTCTCGTGCACTTTAGCTAGGTCGTATAAGCCCTAAAATCCTAGTCGGTTTCCTCGGCGGCTTACCGATAACTGTCCGATTCGTCCCGATCACTGTAACAGAAACGGTAAACTTTGTTCCCTTTTTTCTTATCTTTGTCCACCTAAACTAGATTTTACAAGCCCTAAAACCGAGTGACTAATCATTAATAATGCTCATTACCTCAGTCAAAACAAGAAACGCAAAGAAGAGACAGGAAGCCAGTGAAATGCTGGCAAAACATCCTGCTTATAACCAGTCCGTCAGCACGGAAAAATGAAAAGCTCATCATCTAAGATAAAATCGAAATCGTGCGTAAGAGTAACAAAGCAATCTAATGATAGTTCTCATAAGGTTTCTGTGATCAGGCATAGCGTAGTTGATGTAGAATCACATTCTAGAGCGATTCAAAAGCTTGCTGCGCTTGAACTACAGCTGAAGAACTTGAAAGAAAGGTTTGAATCTCTGAACCAAGTCCTAGAGCAATTTAACTCGCTCTCTTTAACACTCCCGATACACCAAAAATGGAACGCCTTCGATCCGTTGGGAATTTTATACAACGTGCTGCATTAGAGGTTCATGAGCGCATTAAACGCTCCAAAAATGTAATAGCATTTAATTTACCAGAAAAGTTATCTCTTGAGGCTATCTCCTCTGTGGTGGTGTCATATTGAAAGACTACAGTTTTCGTGCGTGAGGCTGAAAAAGAAATCTTCAAAGCAGGTCTGTCCAATACTTGTTAAATTTTCAAACGACACACTTGCTGAACAATTCGTTGGTAGTAGGAGCGTAGTATCCCTTAGGAATCATGACATATCCATGGTACTGAAACCTGATTTAACAGTGCTACAAAGCGAGTGTAAAAATGCCTAATTCCGACAAACAGTCTGTGACCTATTTGTTCAGCTACCCACGGAAACTCAGGAACTTCCTCACCTGCTTGACCTAGATGACTCTATGACCATAAATGAATCAACTCTAACATTGAAATCAAGTAGCAACTGTCGTAAAAATTTCGCTTTGACTCCAATTAGTGTCACGTTAGCCCAGCATTACTGTGCAACTCATCCCCGAACATACAAGAAAATTCTATTGCACAAACGACTACTTCAGACTACCACAGACTGGGGATCAAATATTGCAGCGCACTACAACGGAATGCGATGTAGGAGTGGTAGTGCAGGAAGATCTGGGCTATTCCCGTCAGGCTGAGAAAGTCTCCAATAAAGCTAACCAAAACCTTGGCCTTTTGCGGAGGGCATTCGGATGCTTCGATCCTTCCATCTTTTCTCAGATGCTCAACGCCTACATTCGGCCTCATTCTGAGTACGCCATCCACGCCTGGCAGCCATGGCAAAGGCAAGACCTTACCGCTCTTGAACTGCCACAACGAAAGGCGACTAAGAACGTAAAGGGCCTGTTTCATCTCCCTTACCGATTGAGGCTGAAAACCTTCGGGGTCTACAGTGGACAATATCGACGCCTGCGTGGCGACTTGATAATGACTTATATGATTCTGAGGAATCCAATCCATTCTTGTCGTCACCTACTAAAGCTTAATAGCAATACAACACTCAGAGGACACCAACTAAAGCTGGCCACACAATACAGCCGGTTGGAATGCCGCCGGAATTTCTTTTACCTTCGTGTGCGCCAACACTGGAACGCTCTTCCCACATACGCTGTTTCTTCCCCCACGCTATCACTATTCAAAAAACGTCTGGATGATTCGCTTATCCACCTACATTACGCTATATAATCAGAGATGTCCACGTCAAACAAACGCGAACAAACGGTGCTCATTCTCAGCTTTTGTGCTTTACTATTTACACACTGCTGTTGTGGAATATAGTTTCGGATATATTACAACTGCATTCATCAATTTACCCCAGTCCAAGAAAGCGGCGCACGAGTAAGCGTTGGTCGTTTCTCTTGTTCTTAAGACCTGCCCTATCCATATTACTTCCCATATTACTCTACAGTAACAATTCAGTACATATTCTACAACGTTTCTATGAATAGGAGGCACTTGAATTCACTAGGCGCTTAAACTGACGATTTACACTTATGTTTACTTTCACTTTAACCATCCTACGGGACTTGTAAAGCAATCGCTTTTTTACCTGTAATATATCATTGTTCATTGTTCTACCCACTCTTTGTCGTTCACCAACCAGGTGCATGGACGCTCTGGTACGAAACTGAAAACCTCTCCAAAAAGCTGTGTACCTCTAAAACTGCGGAACAGTCTTGTTGTAACGAACACTGGTAGCAAAACCTCACGTGGCATCTATACGGGTGCTCCTAAGCACCATAAAAACAGTTGTTTTAAACGTTCCACCAAACGCTGTCACCACTGGAAACATGCAAATCACCAAGCATGCAGCATTTGAATATGCGACCTGTGTGCTCCATAACCTGTGAGCCACCTGCTAGTGAACTTCAAGTAGCTGAGAGAAATTGGCAAAACTAAAATCCTCTCAAACTACCTCAACATGTAAATAATCTTCACTGACAGGTAGGTTTTATGCAACAGACAGCAAACTGTGATCTCACAGTGGGTTGACATTTTCTCAGTATTTCACACGTAAAATTAACTCTATTACGCGATCACGTTGTGCATGTTGATAAGACCACTCAATTGGTCTGTGCCTCGCTGTCGAGGAATAAAACGTTTATTTAGGTATTTATTTATCAGTGGGTCCCCGTCGAGGCACATTATTGTGCGTGAATTTTAATCGTGACTTCTACTTTCTACAAACATTACACTACTCACGAACATCCAAACATTAATATGAAAAACTTCTATGAATCCACCATTTGATCCAGTCATGTCAATTCCGGACGAACCAAGCTTAAATTATGTAGATAGGATACTGTATGTAAGGTTGCTTTCGCATCACTTGCCTTATAGTGGTAAACTAACTTGAATCAAGACAGCGCCAAGTGGCTGATGTCATCGGAAATAAAAGGAACTCATTCGACTCTCTCAATTTAAGCAGTGTGACTTACGTTAGCTAGTAGCCCTACACTTTTAGGTTATTGATAATCTTCAGAAGATACTTGCAAAGTCTGTGGCTACTAAGGATGCGGTGCGGTACTATGGACTTTCTCCGCAGAGTTAATCAACGGCGAGCGGGATTTCCGGGTACTAATTTATGTGTTTGTAAGTATGTAGA